GTTATCTTGAAAAGGGGTGCACTTTCTATGTTTTATCATATCTTTTACAGTTGTCAATATTTACCTATATGTAGTAGACTATAAAGTCAGAATGAAAAAAAACAATGACATATTGACATCTTTTACCAGTGAGAATACTTCSTGGTTTATGTCAGCCCTCAATCTTGGATAGGGTTGTTCACATTTTACCAATTTGGAATTTCACAAACAGGGTCAGGATTTAGTACTGAGTCCTTATAAAAAATGTCTATTTTTCAAAAACAAAGAATACAGAATACATTCTTTTGTTTACAAATATATAAATTCACTCCCCCCCACCCCTTCTTTTCCTTGTAAAGTGATCGATAAGTGATTGGTCTGTTATGGCTATTGTGTCAAGATATTCATGCAAGGATGGTTTCCAGGCTTTAATAACTAACTGCAAGAATGTATGACTAACCTGGAGCCTGGTGCGTACAATATCCAATGGATTTGTCAGTGTGGCGGCTGTAACCCCGGCAAGGACCCCACACGGAGCCAACACTAGCATATGTAATGTCCCTGCTGGCACTAAACTACCGAGAACTCCAGTATAAAAGCCATAGGATGACCACCATATTGCACTACTAGGAGCATAAGTCATTAGGGACGCAAAATAACCCTTATAAAGACCCAATGGTCCATGTTTAACGATAATTTCTGAAAATATTGCTTTGGAGCCTTTCAATTTATATTTTTGATCGCCTTGTCCCTGCACCATAAGTTTTTGCGATACAATATCAACTGGTACGGTGATAGTTTGGCCAACGACAGACGCCAAACCGCCAGCTAGGAATCCTCTGATAGCGTTGCTATATTCAGAAGTTCGAGCTCGAACTAATTCGTATGTTGTGATGTAGCACTGCCCTGAAAACAGTCCAAAGCAACTGACCATGAATCCTTTGTAAAGTCCTCTGAATCCTTCAGTTTTTATAACTTTAAAAAAAGCATCACGTGAACCATTATACAGAGCGTTTTTGCGCTGAACTTGCAGGCGGATTTTGATCAGATTCGCTGGATACAGAATGGCTCGAATGCCTAAGAACAATGTTGGACCAAAGAAGTAGAACTTCGTCTTGTCCATATCTTTCCATTCTATGTGTCTTACGTGCTCTGGCATCTTGATGGTCGATAGAAGAGGTTTCAATGAGGAGATTGGGAGAAATTTCGAGCATCATACAACTTGTTAATCAAAACTTGGTGTCATCCGCCATCTTAGATTTGTTGTCCAAATGACGTCACTCCTTTTGAGCAGTCCACAGCACAGGTAACCCACCAGCATCATACTTCTGAATAGGGCAAAGTCCATAGCTTCGCAAATAAATAATGGAAAAACTAGGAGGAAAAAGGAAAATAGTAAGAACGAATGGAGTGATAGCCTAACTATAGCCATAAAAGAATTACGTTAGGATTAGAGATTTGAGTTTTTATTATTTGGGCTAGAAAAACAAAATTTACCTAAATCGCATAATTTGCGAAGAATCCTGACTCGATATAAAAAATCATTTATATATTATATTTAATATTAGAAATAATCGTATGAGGAAGTGGCTGATCCCATTAAAGAGTGCTCAATACACATAAAGTGTAGGGCTAGTTATATATATATGATATCAAAGAGGCAAGATTTTGTTGTAACTCCGAGTTTCGTGCTACGCACTCATCAGACAGTATTTAAATTAAATACTGTCTGATGAGTGCGTAGCACGAAACTCGGAGTTACAGCAAAATCTTACCTCTTGGATATCATATATATTTAATATTAGAAATATTATGATAGACTGATTCCATAAGTCGTGGTATTCGCGCTGCTCGAATTTTCGGTTTGTCAGACCTGTGAGCAACAAAGAAATGAAGAAATATCGACAAAGAGGGAACTGGTACTGACTTTTGTAATCAGTCTAATATTATGAGTCGTTTCCGTGATTCCAGGGGTTTGCCAGCAGATTTTTTTCTCTCTCTTCACAAATGTTGTTAAACCATATTCACTTGGTTGATTCAAGCTCGATCGAAACTGTTCTACATGCAAGCTACAACATCAATCATTTTCAGATAAATAAACTTAGATACTACGCGCGTTCTGATTGGTCGATTACTGTGTTTTCATTACAGTAGGAAGCATGGTTTTCGAATAGGAAAAAAATCAGCTATTTATCCAAAATATTATCCGAAAACCAAGAAACAACTAGTCAACTAATATTCTGCATGTATTTCTTGTTTCTTGTATGTTTTGAGTGTATATAAACGGCTTTAGATAACTTCGATAAACAAAGCAGCTAATTTCAAAGTTAAAAGAACAAGAAATGTAATACGCTTTTAAAAATGAGAATGCATCTTTATTATTATAAATTATCATGTAATTATTTTTGAAATATCTCTATTTCTCTCTTTAGAAAAGTTGTTATTTTTACAGTGAAAAAAAACCATTCGTAGTTTCACTATACATTCGGGGAATAACAAAAAATCTACCACATATTTTGCTTTCATATGTATTCATATGATAGACAGAATATTATATGGTCGCTTGGAGATACTAATTTTATCTTCTGGTGTTGAAAATCTTTCACTCCTTTGCGTAACCTCCGCGTCATGTAATATCCTCTCTTTCTTCAAGTTTCCAAAATAGCTAGCCCGATTTCACGCTCTAAGAGCGTCGAGTTTGGTTAACTTTGAGGGAGTATCTATAAAACAAAGGTCAGCCTAAACAATGCTCTTTGTTTGTTTGTTTTGAAGTTTTGTTGCCTATATTGCTTGATAACCATTCAAATTATGTGAACCATATGTTGAGCATAAAGGATCAAATAGCGCTTTGCAATTGGTTTATTTAATTATACTGAAACTCTGTTACATGAACCCCGTGACTGCCGGGAGGACAAAAACTTCGGTAGACTTGAGCCGCCAGAAGGTTAATGCTAGGAGAAACTAATACCTTACTATATCAGTCAACAGTCAAAATTTTATGCCGTATCACAGACCTAAAAGCCCAAGCCCAAGAACACAGTAAACCCTATTGCTCAGCAAATATATATGAGTCGACAGGAGTTTGACCCCAATGATGCTGATGGAGTTTTAAAAAAGGAAACAAGAGGTTTTGTTTTCACTCTACGAACTAATGGCCTTTCCTATTACTTTTTCGAATTACTAATAAATCATAAATTCACCATGCATTCGCAAACTGACCAACTGATCATAGTCTTTATTCCAAGCCCGCCATTTTAAATCGGTTTGCAATGTATTCTGGGATACCAATCTCCCTGTCTTCATCAAATCAAGTCGCTAAAATCGTAAGAATAGTAAGTAGCTTCGATTTTTCATCAGACAAGATAGTAACTTTGTTTTCCTTTTTTGCTCGATTTGTCATATCGAGTGAAACAACATTCTCGAGGCCGACTGCACAATTTTTTGTGTCTTCCTTGCTGTGGGGGATTTTTTTCCCTAACGAACTTTTAAAATTAGCTACAGTGTCCAGCTGTCCACATTTTCCGGTATTCGTCAAAAACTGAGGCCGCGACTTAGACCACGTCTCAAGCGCTGCCRGTCAGCTGTTACCTCATTTATCAATCCCCCCTAAATGCATTGCGCCGCAACGTCTGCCGCTACCCGTAATAAGGACTATGGACTATTGATAATCATCTTTTTATTTCTTTCATAAGCATTTCCTTGCAAGGTGATACACAAAAGTTCAAATTAAAAAGAACTCATCAACAATTAAATAGATGTCTGCATTCCCCAAGCACTCCGTCTTTTCCACAGGTAAGATGGCAGTCCTTGCCTTTGTGAAGTGTTAGGCAGTCACGGTGGCACTTTGCTGAAATGGATTGACAATTTAAGTCACAGGTGGAACTGAGACGTGTTACTGTCGATTCACCTCCATTGGGGGTGGTGAGGGTAGTCGCAATAATCAGCCAAATTAACAACGCTGGGAAAATCATCATTCCAGGCGTGAAATCTAACTGAGTGAGAGAAAAAAAGATATTGAAATGACACATTGTAATCATAAAATCAATTATCCATGGATCAGTCGTAAATCGATTATCAAAGATGCATGATATATGGATTCTGTGATCAGGAATCAGCGTTATTTTAGATTTTAGCTTTGGTGGATCGAGATTGGAAATAAGTTGCGAAGATACCTCTGGGATCAGTTTGGGACTCAAAATATGGGCGATTAGGCTAGGGAACTTATTTGAGAAGAAATTTGGGAAGGGAAAAGAATTCTGATCCCAAAAATGGAATCACAGATAAAGATAATAAACCATGTCACAATGTTGAACTTTTTAAAGTACGAAAGACGAATGAGAATGAAACTGAGTAAAAGAAATGTGGAAAAGAAAATATGATGAGTTGACGCAAGATTGAAGAGAATATAAAGAATGAGGATAACGAGAATAAATAAGGCTTTGGAAAGAAATAAACCAAAATCCAAAAATGTTATATCAGGAAAGATATAATAATTATTATTACCGCACACAAAGAATTTCGAAAAAATGATAGGAAATTAAATGAACTTAAACTATATAAAGAAGAGAAGCCGAATATGTGAGGGAAAAATACAATAAAACAAAATAGAAAAGTCCGTCAGAGGGGTTTATATTAGTTCTAACTATCTATATCTTTTAATCGATACTATCAATTGAATTCATGATCAATAAGAAAGGAAAGACCTACTATACATTTCAATACCTACCAGTTTTATAGTAAATTGTCAGCTCGATGCCAGTAGCCTTCTTATGCCGGCTTCCTTATTGCTTATTCACGTTAAAGAATGAACCTTGATCTCCCCAGGTGTACAGCACTTTTCGTATCAAATTTGTCTGCATTGTTATTAAACACTGTTGACACGCCCTCTTCTCCTTAAAATTAGATTAAAGATGAGGATTTGTGACTATCATGAACTTCCATTAGACTTTAGACGCCACATAAAAAAACGAGTTTGCAAATAAAGTTAGAGTTGAATTTGAGTTAGTGAATTTGAAGTATTTTTTTTTTTTTACTGGGCTGACCCATGTAAGACATGTAAAGCTATTTTCTCACGATAAAAACGTGATTCTTAAACAATTGAATGAAAGAAACAAGAAAAAAATACGCGTGAAAGTATACCGGCTGCGCCTAGTGAGGACGCTATCGAATTAAGATATACCTTATGAAAGTTAGAAAACGTGTCATGATAGGAATATGTTTGAAAATCTAATTTTACACAAGATCTAATTACAAAGAAGACAAGTCAAAATAGGTAGGTCTGGTAGATACCGTCAACAACTGTTTTCTTCTTTCGTGCAGAAAAAGTATACTTTTTTTAAGAGAAAGCGTACCGAAAATGTGAAATGTTTAGCGATTTAACCTTCTCGAACACTGACGAAATCGCTAAACATTTCACATTTTCGGTACGCTTTCTCTTAAAAAAAAGTATACATTTTTTTGCCATGAACCAAGATTCACCTGTCTTCACCAAGATTCAATCTTTGCAGCATTTTGCAGATTTTTTTTCGTAAGAAAAGATCTACTCTACATATGGACCACTGATATCTGCTAATCGGCATGGTTCATAGGGACGGCCCAGTACTTTCCGAAAGAGCATATTTTCAATCTAATTAAATCTTAGACTTTTTTTAGTAAACTGACTTGTTAAAAAAAGATAACAGAAAAAGAAATGAAAAAAAGGAAAAAGAAAAAAAAAGAAAAGAAAGAAAAAAMAACAACAAACAAATAAAGAATGAAAGAAAGGAAAAACAGCAGGAGAACATAGGAATAGCGATGCATTTCTCGTTTTGACAGTGGTCGTTTTATGCGATGAATAAACAACAAATTAAAAGAATAATGTGTTTAATTAATGACATTTTAATATTCATCTCTGTAGTTGATGCAACCCAATACGTTAACTTATTACATTATGGCTTTTTTTGCACCAAATTGCACGGCCCACTTGAACATTCTACGAACAGCGTTTCGCAGTTCCTCTGACAATCGTTGCCACCATGTCGATTGCAGGTATACATGCAAGACATTGCAATATCGAAGCAATACTGGAAACATGGATCCATCCTTACGTGCCCTGCGTCACTAGGAGTAATAAGGATCGTTGCGGACAATATATACAAGAACATCATTAGCATTCCAAGGGCCATGGCACTGAACGTTTCTAATGAAAGATATCAAATATGAATAATAATATATATATAATAATATATATAATAATATCAATAGGTGGATAAAGGATGATAAGATATTTAACAATAAATAGATCAACCACGGTCGAGTGGCTCGTAGTCCTTTTGCCTTCGAGGTCTAATTGTTTTACTATTACCATACTAGTTGGACAAAAAATGATGAATAACAAAATGTTTTTATTGCTAAACATTCGCACTTACTTCTTTAATTAATTTGAATAAATTATCTCCGACGTCGTTTGACACGCCTGTCATGTTTGCATCTGTAATTCAAAATCACTAAATGCTGGTGAAGCTGTGGCTTAAGTTGAAAAGCTTAAAATGGTTTTTAACATATCGATTTGACCCACAATATTTATAAAAGAAAATCAAAGTTGGCACTTTTCACTAGTGAAGGACTATGAAAAATAGTCAGCTAATCAAAATCTAGGATTTGCAATAGTCCACTAGTATGGTAATATTAAATGTTGATAGTCCATGAGGCCGTACTCGATCAATGAAAAATGATAGATCAATATAATAGATAAAAGATTGGATAGCCTACTCTCGAAATGACACATACACAAAACTAGAACAGTAGATCATCCTCGTAAAAGTATTTCAGTGATATACATATCTAATACATTATTGCGTTGCATTCTTGATATTTTGTTTATATGCTTGCTTTTTTTACCTACGCTTATTCACCACATTATAATATGACATTGAAATATAAATTAGTACTCTTGTGCTTGGGATGAAGAGTGACGAAAAGATTCAAGAAGAAAAAAAGGAAAGGAAATGGCATTACAACAACAAGACAAAAAAAATAACCAAGAGTAACCAAAAGAGAAAAGAAAAGATCGAATAGATAATCGAAGAAAAGGAGAGGAAGTTAAGAAAAAAACTGAGGAAACATGACGAGTAGAGACAAAAACAGAAGTGAATCAGAAGAGGAAAGAGAAATGAAAGGATAAGGCCCTGGCTAAGAGGTTGAAAAGATGACAAAAAGAAATAAAAAAAGGAGAACATTTCGAGGCGAAACAAGAAAGAAATAGAAGACAGAATAGTAAAGAAGAAGAAAATGAGACGGATAAAAAAGAGAGAAAGGAATATCGAAATGATAAGAATAGACAAAGGGAATAAAGAAAAAGAGAATAGACACAGATGAAAAATGAGAAATTGAACTTTTGAAAATAAGTAGGTTTCGTAACAAGACTTCTAATTTTTTAAACTTCTTGACAATGTTGTTAAAAATAAATTGAAAAAGAAGTGAACTTGGAACAATAATCTTCTTTCCCAGTTTTGATCTTTCACTCCTTACACTCTTTCTCGTCTCTTTTTAATACTTAACGTAACATAACATGCAACTCTATCAAATAACAAGCAAGACCTACCAGTTGAATTCTTTACGGCTGATAATTAATCCAGTTCAACGTGACTTTTCTCCTGTGTTTAAGAGTTTAGTCAGTAACCCGTTCGGCAGGTGAAAGTCATTTTATATTTCTATCTTATTTGCATTAATTGCTAAGACAACCAAAAATATGCCAACTATGACTGATGACGTGCAAACAAAGGAATGTCAGGCATTCTAGAAGAAATTATCACTCAGACAAGATTGTTCCTAGTACATCCATTGTAATAAACTGGGCTTCACTTTAAAGTACACTACTGAAAGTGTGCAGCATAAATGCCACTAAATACTGCTAGGTTATGCTTATTCTATTGTGAAGTCAATAAACCCGTGAAACAAAATTTATATATTGTGTGATAGTCAAAAGAAAACAATGCAATTAGAGCGTAATAAAATATATTATTGTAATAACTATACTATTTCTTTTGCTTCACCATAGAGTGGTTTTCCGTCAACTATGAAAAGAAATAGACCAACTAGTTAGTAGCAATGAGTAATAAACTAGTCAATATAACTTTTAGACATATAAAATATAAACGAATAGCTAACAAACAACAGTTTGAATAAATAGTTGCCATAACAAAAACGACCATTAAAGATAAAAAAAGCTTGTTTTTGTGATGAATATGCTTATACCTATCAATTGGATACAAGACTAGACTATTAGTATTGGTCTATTACAAACTACTACTAACTATTAGACTTATTGTGCTTTCATGGTTGACGGAAAACCACTCTATTGTTTAGTTAGTACTGTTTATTAGTACTATTTAGCTGTAAATAGTGCAAATACAATGTATTTCACACATTAACGGTGTTTGTTCTCTATGATGCTATACAAAGAATATTCAGAAAACAATGCCGGGTCTACAAGCTCCATTTGGGGAGCTATTACGAATATTTCAGTAGTTAAATAGTTACCGAACAATCGATAAAGATACATTTGTGTTCTTTTTATGCGAACACAAACTAGGATGTAAAGATACAAGGAAAATGAACAGTAAACAACATATGTACCAAGTAGTCACCAATTTGTTTTTCGTGTGAACTTAATCTACCGGTAAAACCTGGAACATTTGTCGTTGGGTTGATATCGATTATGTCGGAGTGGGCATCCGGCGGTTATAATTGCATGCTAATTGTCGAAACGATCCATTATTGTTCACAAATATATCAAAAAAGGTCGTATCTAAGTGATAATTGATTCTTAATGGTAATGAGCCAGTTTGAAAACCGTCAAATATCAATTTGGTGGAAAAGTCTTGTTGACTTAGATGTTTTTTCAAACGGTGGATTATAAATGACTAAAATGTATCTGCCGTCAGAGTTTTTCAAAAGGTGTGTTTCATTAGGGAAAAACGCTGTCTCGCGGCAGCTCTTTAAAGCCATGTACGTCAATAGAATTGATGTCCATAATAATATAGTACGTATAGTAGGTATCATATTGAAAACGGTCCCACCTTCAGCTAATATTGTACTTTTTTGTAATGTTAAGATAATTGCTTAAAGAGCAAATGCCAATGTTGAGAGATCGCCAAAAAAAATCAAATAAGAACCAAAGTGGAAAGTAGGGGGGGGGGGGGGGGGGGGGTAAGAGTGAGAAGAAAAGAAGAGAATAACGGAAGACAAGAAATCCAAGAAGCAAATATAAGAAGCCAACAAGACTACAAGAAGAAAAAAATACATAATAGGATTAGTAGAAAAATTCGAATTTCAGACGTAGATTCTACCTTCCTATGGGGTGACACCAACGCTGAAAAGTTTCGATTGTTGCGGAAATTGAATCGTGCACACGTTATAACACGATCGATATCGATAAAATTCCCATTGAGCTACTGAGTGGCTCCACATAGTGATCCAGTTTTATGATGGTAACCCAATATTGCAACCTATCATAGGGTCTCAGAACAGTCGATCGGATAAGGGCATGTAGTTTTATAATTATGAAAATTGTTTCTAACGGAAGCGCTTGCAGCATACAGAAAACTTCTATAAGGACAGCTACGCGTATCAGTTCTATATCTAAAAGAACTCTTATGTTGTAAAATAACTACACGAATTACACGTCCTAGGAGTATTGCTGCGGGTGCGCCTGAGGGCTGTTCACTGCTTGATACGTTGGTCGGAGTTATTGACCACTTTCATAAGTGCCTACTATCGATTTTATGCGATTGGCAATATTATGGAAACATTCAGGAATTCTAAATATGGTTGAACCATCAGAAATAAGTACTTGTGGAAAGTTTTGAAGATGTGGACTAAACTGACTAACGAAGTTATGGAGTAATAAAGGATTTGTGTGAAATTCTTTGCGGAAACCTTGGTAGCCTCATTTTGGTGCTTTTTTACCTCTTCTAAATTATAAATTAGACCAGTTACCCGGCAGATTAATTATTTTCAGTGAAACTTTCAGAACTACTTTTAGCTTGATATGTATATAATATGTATATAGTATGAGTGTTTCCCGTTTGTAATCATTGTCACTTTGACGATTACTAAAACCTAATTACTTTCGGCTATTATGWAAGGTCTTCAATTATCCGGAAAGATGAAGCACAAATGTTCATAACATGACTTTGCATTTACCTCAAATTCAACATTTGTAAAGGGAAATGATATGTGTAAAACAAACAAGCAAACAAGCAAACAAACAAAGAATGAGAAATGAATACAATGGTGAATAAATAGGAAAGTACTAATTAGAAGGGTAAATAGACAAAAATATAATCTTATAGGGTACGATTCGGTCAGACACTCGCGCTGTTGGACTCAAAAACGTTTTCAGAAATTTAACAAGGTCAAAATGCACTCACAATAAAGTTGTATTTGAAAAAACGCGCCGGGGAGGGTAGTCCAAATTAATAACTACATTTATTGGAAGGGGGACCTATTCGATAGTATATAACCTTATCATTGAAACATTCGTACTCATTTTTCACCCGGTTATTGTAGCAATTTGAGATGAAAACAAGTCGGCGAAAAGAACTTAATTTTTTGGGGTCCAACATTTTTCTCATGCTCTGCTTTTATCTGCATATTAGACGGTTTTATTTGTTAACAATTACATTAGTGATTCGACTTATTGACATGCACGAAACTTCCTATGGGCGCAGAGAGCTCCAGGGTATTGCTACGTCACCTCGCGTGTAGTTAAAGCTGCCTTTACGCTTGAGAGGGGAAAAATTAAAACTGTTAAAATGTAGCGTTAATAGTCTTGTTTGATATTCTAATCGGATACAATTCACCAGATATGGCCAAGGGTTTAAATATCCTGAGAATGTTATCGCGAGATCCCTCAGGAAAACAGAAGCCCTTAGCAGATGGTGATCGATAATTCTGAGCTTGGGTAGCGCTAATAGGAATTAACTCTATGTGAGCGTACGTCAAAAAAGGGTTCTTKTCTCTGGTGGGAAAATCCAGTCGTCCAAAAGACGCAATTAATAGACTCTCTGCATCAAAAGGGTCTTAATTTTTTAACCACCTTTTGTGCTGTCCATTCTCATATCCTTACGATAACACCAACAACGCGGGTTAATACTTGTATGGAATAGGTTGTAGGGACGMAACGGTGATTGCGCGACCGATAGTCACAGTGGAAATAATTCAGTTTTTTTTATCTATAATATTTCATCTTCTGAAAAAAGGTTCAAACAAAAACAAAACTAGAGTTAAAAAAATAAAAGAAACAAAAAAAAGTTTGCCTGCTTTTGATGGGTGAATATTGGCAGTCCGTCATCTTGGTTTAAAAATAATTGTCGAAGTGGTGAAATGATGCTTACTTTCAAAAGGAGAAGCGTATGGGACACTTTCTAAAGTAAAGCATGATTGGAAATCGTCCGCTTAAATAATCTAAATCTACCAATTAAATACTGCTAAAATATGCTAATCCTTTTATTTTCTATTGTTTAGTAATCACTATTTAGCTGTAAATAGTGCAAATTGTTGTACACATTAGCGTTTGTTTCACATGTTTAATGGCTTCACTATAGCACGGTCAGGCGTATAATATGGGCAATTCAGAAATTACTCATGAGACCGAAATCACAAAAAAACAGATTTGAGTATTACAAAGTCATCTACGGATACATCCATAAAAAAAAGAACAGCGTAATCCGAACGTCTCTATGTCGAACACTTTCACTATCTTGCGTTCGCATTAGTGAGGCTCAGCTGTATTAACACTTTATCTGCAAACATCGATTGGTTTGAATAAGCGGGGTGTTAAGATAGGTATGATTTTTTGTGTTTTTGTGTTTCGAGGTATATTATCGATGACTAGCGTAAAACGTGTTACGTTGAAATTCTCCATTGCATGATACTGGCGTCACGCCCACCAACTGATATCAGCCGCGAGTCGTCATGGAGAAAGCGAACACACGTCACATGAGCACTGTGTCCCTTGGCAACGTTGGGTACAGCCTGTAAAATATAAGAGCACTATTAAGTTAGAAAAGGGATACAATACAATAAAATAATTTTATTAAGCAATCCCAAAATGGCTTTTCATGCCTAATTTACAATAGTTTCCATATTTACAAAAAAACTACAATACTAATAAAATTACAGTGATGATTAATTTCCCTATTTACAATAATTTACAATAATCATAAAAATTACAGTGATGATTAAGAATATAAATTTCCCTATTTACAATAATTTACAATAATCATAAAAATTACAGTTATTATTAAAAATATAAATACTAATGGGTAAAATATAGAGTACAAACACCAAAAGCGTGAAAACATACTCTCCAAATAAGAAGAAAGGGCGCTTGGGAGAGGAAAAATGATGTGAGGTCGTCACCCAGGTAGATAAGAAGCATCGAGAGTTTTATAAACTTTAAATCTCTATGTTCGCCAAAATTTTCCATAATTTACAGGGAGACTATAGCTTTGACAATTACCTTCACACCTGCACAAGGGTATCGGAATAAGTTGACGTCTCCAAAGTCGTCTGCTGTTGCAAGTAAATGTCTCGAGTGTGTTCTGTCCACAGCATTAACATCTGTGCCATCAGCCTCCTTGGGCCAAATACCTGAAAACAACAGACATTTACAGAAACAAATAAACAAAAAGAAAGAAACAGAGAGAAAAAAGAAGGGGGTTATTTTGGAAGATAGAAACTACATAAGTCTGATATTCATGTCAATTAGGTGGTAAAATGTGACGATACAACTCATAGGGCTTAACTAGACAATGTTTAGCTCTAGCTGCGTAAAGGGAAAAGCAAGCAGTCATCTAGAAAGATAGTGTTCATACTTACCTAGCACAGGAAACCCAAGAACACAGTTTTGGCTGTCCCAGTTAGTATTGCGCATGTCTTCTGTTGACGTAATACGGTCGCACTTAAGGACATCCCCTTCCACGAGAAAAAAATGTTAGTAACTACAATCACGCGAATAGTAAGCACAAATGGATTGGTGAAATACAACTGCAGCTTGCAAATTAATGTTACAAAGGCATAGTAAGTTATTGATGATAATAGACATAATACTTTTTCACATCGGAAAAAAAACAATCATCCTCAAAAATTTTCATTTACTGGGGACTGGTTGTATGAATAATAATGCAGCACCCATCGAAAACTCGCTTGTTGATTGCTTCCTAAAAAATCAATCCTTACTCAAGGACAACTTTATCCTGTGAATTGAATGTATTAACTTTTCGTACAACCAGCACAAGAGTTTTGACTATAAGAAGCCTTAACAAAATAAGTACTTTCTATTTCCATTCACAGGGCGATACACAGTAAATATTAGCTATACTTACAAAACAACAGTTCATAATCCCCTGATGTACTTTGCATTTGAGTTCCGTCAGCTGACCAGTCAAGATGTGTGACGTAACTACAGTGTCCCTATAGAATAAAGAAATACCAGATAAAAGCGGCATCAGCTCTCTCTATACACAGGTAGCCCAACTTGAATCGTCAAATATTCCCACCCTGGGGCACTGAATAATTGCTTTAATCCCCACCCCTAGCCCGGTGGGGGTTTAACAATAATAGGTGCATAAGGCTAAAAATGTTCGCCATGTTTTGTCCTCCAGTTGGTGCTGCATTCCCACGAACTACAAGAGGTCTATGTATCTGACAACGGTCGCTTGCAAGCTATGCGCATCTGGTCAAGCTATGCGCATCTGGTCAAGCCATTTTTTTCTTTACCTCACATTTGCCCAACAGGTCAATACTTTGYCCTCCATTAAGAAGTTTGAAAACGTAGATATTGTTGTCATGTGATCCAATAGCAAGATAAACTCCATCTTCCAAAAAGAAATGTGCAAAAATGGTTTGATATTGAACRTAATTCAGTGTTTTTTTACCATCAYCACTGYTATYAACTAATATCAAATATCGTCATCACTTSAGCATTCGCAACGAAGCACATTGTCTACCTTACAAGCATTGCAGCTCCTTACCAGGAGAATATTTGATTTCTGATATTTTTTCCTTTGCGCACTTTTTATGAACCAGAAGGTYGCCTGTTGACGCTTGTATAACAGCAAAACTGTTGAGAAATAAACTGATTGTTTATCAGATCGTCTATTGAACGTTTTCCCGTACATTTTATAGATAGCAGTTTCTAAAATAATAGGTTATATAACACGGGYTGTGATTGATCACGGGCTGTGATGGGAGTATCAAGCACGCTCGCACCAACGTTTCTTTGTGGACTTGTACTTTCATTTGARGAATATTATAAAACGGATTTACGTGTTGGTTACTCTGATCAAAAGACGCGGGATGTTGGGAGAACATGAGCCAGGAGCGTAGGAAACCACGACGCGTCTTACAGAAAGAATCGAATGATTAAGTGAACCATAGTTAACCTAACCCTAACCCTCTCCCTCTATTAACTATGAGTGAACATATCAGCCGACATACGACAATCAACAAACATCCGTTCGACACAACGATGAATGAGTACATTACGTCACCTTCCATCTTTGTTGCCAATAGCAACTGTGTCTTCTTTTGGACTGAAATCTGCAGCTTGAGCGTGGACCTGCAAAGTTTTTGAAGGTTTTAACACGAATCACGTTAAAAGTTGCTCACTACTTGTCTTACGGGAAGTTTCGCCGACCATTCAGCAGTTTTGTCTAACGCGTTCCACATCTTTATCGTTTTGTCATGGCCGGCGGTAATAAATTTCGCTGAAGTGGGATGAGCAGCCAGTCCTCGAAGTTCATCCGTGTGTCCCTAGTACAGAATGGAAAAGAGCTTTGAAACATCGAATCAAACAAGCAAACAAATTATTAAACGATCTGGTTTGAATTTATAATACATATTGTATTATATATTGACCAATAATATAGCGTGTGTTATATTGTAACTATAAGATAATTAGCCAATGGTAGCACACTTTTTATCATACCAACCTCAATTATTGGTCGTAGCCGGATACTAACATCAAGTAAAGGTGATTTACCCGAAGCAAGCTTTGTACACCAGATACYATTGTTAACAGTACCAGCAAAAAGATTGTCATATTGGTCGGTTACCAAGGTACGAATACCCGTCACACTCGGCGGAAACTACAATTGAAAATACACATTTTAAAAATACTGAATACCAGGATCGAAATGCATGATAGTTATGGCAGAGACAATAAACGATTTCAAGATGTTTGGTCGCTTTTAAAAATATCGCAGCGGCTGARATCGAGAAATTCAAATACGGTTTTAAGACTACGTTCACACGGAACCGTCCACATTTCGTACGGATTGAAACAGTATTCACACGGATCCGTTCATGCTTCGAAGTGACCCGTCCTCAAAGTGGATCGGCTTTTTAGCCGGCCCCAAACCTGACCACTTTGCCAGCCTCAGATGAGGCCAGTTCCAGAGTTCCAATGTGAACGCGCGCCTAAACTAGAACGGTTCCGAACGGAAACGACCCGTGTGAACGGGGCATAAGTTAGAGCAGGCAAAGACAAAACCGATTAAGTCTTTTTGATTGTTAAACAATCACCTTCATCTGCACACCCATTGGAGAGAGTCTTCGATCCCAGGCTCTAACCACYCCATCTCTYCCCCCAGCAGACAACAGTACTCCACTTGTTAAGACATACAGCGAGTACACTGATCCCTAGACAGAAAATAATCGAATTAATTAGACCTTTGAACATTAATTTGTAATCACTCTAAAACACTATGACGTCACATATTTTAAAAGGGGAGAGAATTGCCGTATAAAACAAGGGAAATTTGGACGTTAAATCGTCTATATGTTTACGTTATATAATGATCACTGTCTCTATCTAAACTGTTTTATTGGGATTCGTCTTTCTATGTTCATCGAATAATGTGTTTTATCRTTTTTTATCGCATTTTTGTCTTCGTGTCATTTTGTTTCTCTCTCTTGCGACCATAATCTTTATCGTTAGCAGAATACAGCACGAGTACAACTTTTGATTTGGCATGAAATTACTATAAGGTTTTATACTTTTACTCTTTATTTTGTTGAGTTGTCATAAATCCAACATCCTAGTTGGACACATTTTTAAAGCTACTTTAGACTGGTAGCTTTTTTGATGTCAAGGCCATGCATGTCACTTAGAATCATTGAAACYTTTATGCATCACTGAAAGTACGGACCCAAACCCCGACCCAAACCCGGCAAAACGGGAATGATCATTCCAACAACGTTAGAGTCCCTGGATTTCCCGGCCATTAGAGGCCAAAAAAGCGAGAAAATTTTCTTTGATTTAAGACGTTAATTCAACCGTCTTTCCGATGATGATTGTGGTGGTAAAGCACATTTTAGGCACTAATCTTGAAAGAGTCGTGTCTTCGTATTCCATCTCTGCCGCACCAATGTAAAGGTTCGACTTACTTCACTAGACATGAATGAATCGGTTCTTGGTGACTTCATTTACTCTCAGAACACAACTCAATTACATTAACAAGAGCTCTATTTCCATAAATACAGCTATTTCAAGATTATTACCGACTACTATTTAAAAGAGGATGAATAATCGCGGAATAGTTTACGTTATCTCGTACGTACGTTTCAACGTTTATACGTACGCAAAGGACAAGTAATCGCAAAATACGCGTAAAACAATAAGTAACACAAAACAAGACGATRCAGTGACAAATGAATTATAGACACTATCGTATTCTCGTCAGTATAATGTATTAATTCTCAGACCTTTCCCAGGGGTTGGGGGACCGGGGTTTCAATTGACTGACCCACTACTTTAATAAGTACTTACGTCATGTGCGTTCTTCACTGAATTTGATATTTGATTGTTATCTGAAAAAAGGCAATATGCTAATGACGTAGCCTAATAATGGAACGTTTGTTCACCTTTAGTTTTCCTAGAAAGCTGTGCATTACACATACACTTTTCTGGAGATTTTCTCTTTTCAGTCTTAACAAAACTGAGTGGCAAACCTCAGGAGAAGATCACAATGCTTAATATCATAGTTTTCTGCACGAAAGAAAGCATATCTATGCAATGACTTGGAGGCATATATCAGAAATATACACACAGTATGGACGTGGAGACATTACATCCATAAATTTATACCATCAAAAGAGAATATCTAATATACAAATAATATATCTGTATATCTGTATGTTTTAAGCAATTTTGTTAGATATAAATCAAAAACGAATATGTAGTCCAAAAGGAAATACCTTCAGGCCATAAAAAGATCGTCCCATTTGAATCACCAGTGATGACGTCACCTTCTTTGGAAAACGTTAGGCACGTGATGTACTTGGGTTTGACGTTATGCTGTTAAATTACCATATAAATATTTAACAAATATATTACATTTTTGTGTGCATTTGTACTCTAATAAAAAATGGAATCTATATGCGGTTCCTGTAGTTTTTTTCCGGTTGAACGAAGACATCAACATGCGCGCACTGCTTCTGACCAATAAGAGCGCACGAAAGATTGATTGGCGTCATCCGTGCGTGTTCTCGACCAATCCAAGAGCTCGTAATATACGTTCTATTATATTAAGAATGTTTTTGCTGGTTMTACAACTTACATCAAATCTTCCTCGATCACATTTCATCTTGTTATCATCATCCATCGTCCAAAAGCTGACATGTTGTTTGCCACACGATACAATTTGTTTGTTGTTGAAAGGAGAGAACAGCGCCATTAGAACMGTGTCCATGCTGCCCTGGAAAAATCAAGTCGACAAGTTGAAATATTGGTTTGTTAGGCATCAAATTTCTTGCTTTGGTTTCTTCATTCTCGTCTTATTTATATAAAAATAATCCGCTTTTTCAATCTAACACCTAGAAGATGGAAACTGGGTGGCGGACCCTAAGTCCAATCAAGTGACTGCGCATACTCCAATCTTGGACAAAAAGGTGATAATTTTTGCTAAATGTTCACTTATTGACGACCTTTTTGTTCAAGGTTGTCGGTTCTTGACCCATTTTTGCTCGCTCAAGTGCCAAATCAGCGTATATGAAGACTTGGACCGAAGCGGCGTAACAAAACGGAAGATCTTCATTTTCCTATTTTGCTTCCTTCGATACTTTCTTCTCCGTTCGCAGATGGATTTTTACACGCGAGGAAGTGGCCTACGTCTGCCTCTCTTAATTTCTGCCCTTTCCGTTTGCATCACAGGAGAAAATCGRCCTTGGAACTCGTGATGCATAGAATACGAAAAGGTTATAGGAAGATATTCTGAGGATTCGATAGAAATTCCAATCCGCACAAATGTGATCTCATTGTTGCAGAAAATCTAATTTAAAGATATTTATGAAATAGAATAATGTTTATCAAACAGAGGAGTCTTCGACCTCTAGTCTTACTCAGCTTGTCTGACGAATGCGAATCAATTGACCGCCATGTTACAGCACGACCCTTTACTTTTATTAGTTTTTGTCATAAAAGGRGAAAAAGGAAAATACCAAGAAAACACGGTACCTTACCTTCACATTGGTAATCTTCTTGTTTTTCTCCCARTCCCAAACACTGATGGTGTGATAATTATCATCATCAACGGCTACCAAGTATCGACCTCTATCAATACCAGGCTGATTTACAAATGACAACTGATATTACTATAGACCTTAGAAACATTCTTTTAGAAAACAATGGAGAATAAACATTTACAAATGCACTCGGGTTACCTGTGAGCAAAAATCAAGGGATATCACGGCTCGTTCAAAGAACCCCAGGCCTATGACCATGGTTGTAGTCAGAGTCTCAGAGTTCCAGACACGAATATGGGCCTATCATGAAGCCAAATTACAATACATTACTGTTCGAAATTATAGATCTGTCCTCAAACTTTAGTGTGGGACATACCTCGCCTTGGACCTTGTCATGACCTTCGACCTGACCTGTTGCTATGGTGACTCCATCCGGATGAACAGCCATGCTGTAAGCAAAACAAGTATGTTTCACTTAGAAATAAAATAACCAATGGTCTAATCTACTCTTGGTTGACCTCCTGGAAGAGAGTGCAGGAGGTCCACGCCCCATCTCACCCCCACCCTGTGCACTTTTCTTTCATTTATTTTCTCCCTTGCAACCATTTTTGTGATGTGCACCACCTCTCACAGAGACCTGCACCTCTAGAGAAAATCCTTGAACCRCACATKCCGCAGACGTCAATACATCCTATTTCTGCATGATGTACTGTACATACATGTATACGGTAATGTTTGTATCCAAAAACCTGTCCGTATTATAGAGGTATTCACATTTAGGAGGYTTACAATATTTCAGAGGTGTTGGCAATACATGGACATCTAAAAATGTATGTGAATATATCCGTCATATGACTGAATGTGTCCGTATCATAGATGTGTCCGATGTTGAGAGGTTTACCTTTCAATATCATCTGTGTGTTCGGTATAATGTCTTTGTTTTTTATCTTTGCTGTCCAGTATGACAGCCACAGCGGCAATGAAGTAGATCAGCTCACCAGACCTTAGTACCGACAGGTTATTACGGCAGTCTCTGCCACGATAGCCATATCTAAAACAAACAAGAAAAGTCGCCTGAAAACAAAGCAAAAGTGTGCCGAAAACAAAGTGTGCCGAAAACAAACAAACAAAGTCTGTTGGCAACCTTTTATAATCTCCAAAGGAAAGAGTCCAACAAAATATCTAGATATCACACAGATTTGTCGTAGTTTGCAGGTGCAACAAAACAATCTCTATCCATTTATATTACAGACATTACAGTAAAAAATCTGATGTATTAAACAGAGACATTCAATCATTATACAGTTGGTCTAAAAGTCTCCAGTCTCTTGGAGTCGTCACTATGAAGATCTCCCTGGCCACACTCTTTAGATCCATGTCCCCTCCTTTTCCCCCCGAAACTTACACCCACTCCAATATAAGATTCTCGTCTGGTGGYTCTGTAGGTATGKCAACACCGACGTACTCGTCCGGGGGRTACACGTACACCTTTTGTCGACCCACAYGGACATACACTGGATCTGGTCCTRCGAAAGCAAACAGYAAATGAGCATTAGTTGTGGCTKGTTGGTCTTTGGTTTACATTGGTGCTGGGTTTCCTCATATTGTTTCAAACGATAATACTTGCTTGTTTGYTGCCGCAAGTTGGTTGGTTTATTGGATYGTTKGCTAGTTGATTTATAATCTTTATTGTTGCTAATCAATTGACTATTTGTTTGGTTAGTTGWCCGATCAATAGTYGGCCGGATATYTACTAGATTGAWWGATTGATTGATTGGTTGGTTGATTAATTGACTGATAAATTGATTGAATGATTGTTTTSCTGTTTGGTTGATTGGTTGATAGGTTGTTAGGTAGAGATCAGGACCTGTGCGCGTTAATTAATTCGCTTCACACATCGTTACTTTGTTCTTTAACGAGTATTACAGAAAAGATGAATTATAAAATGTTAATTGTTAGTATGTTAAAAACAGTTAATAGTAGCTTATCACGACGGATATTATCRTTATTTTGTTTTACCTGATTTAGGCCATCGATTGGATTTGTTTGGAGAAATTTTCTGTTTAACTAAGCACACAATATCAAATAAATGTATSACATAAAATTGTATTTATCATTATTACATATGCATGCTACTCATGAATGTTTTTATTTTAATTTAAAAATTAATTTATCACAACTTTGACTTGTTTAGTTGATTAATTGACTCATTGAGTTTATATTTTTAAAGCAGRATTGACATCAAAACACAAGGTTTCAAGTTTACTGAATCACAGTTCATAACAGACACGACCTTATATAAGGGAAGAGTTTTTCGTATAAAGCTACTTAAAAAAACATTGAATACTATATCCTGCATAGCCAAGATTGCAATGCATTGATGGCCATTCTATTGCCGTTGGAAAGGAGATTTCGTGGCTTCAGACTGAATATACGAGCTCCGCACAGTTAAAAAAAAAAAAATTCGAGGGAAAGCAAATCAGGAGGAGCCGACGGGGTCTGTTCTTATAAATAACTGTTCTTGTACGAATTTTTTCCTGGGAAAGAGATTTTGAGCTACATTGTTGACAATCTCACAAGCAAATGTGGCGCCCTTCCTTCTTTAAAATAACAATTTTGTTCCTGACAAACGTTCTAAGGTCAAAAACGGCTTATATTTTTTTTAGTTAGGAAATTTCTATTTTCCTAGCAAAAATTCTTAGAAAGTATTCCTTTCTCTGGAGAGTTCTTTTTTCCTTAATTTCTTGCTGGCAACCAGTTGTGACTTACAGCTGGCTGGGAAATAAGAACAGATATATATTTCTCCCAGGAACCAATCGGCTCCTCCTAGCAAATTATCTAAGAACTGTCGTTTTGTAACGTAGAAAAATGGTGGAAACTAGTGGTAAACTAGTGTGAGCTGTGTCCCTAAAGAAACAGTTGTGTAAAAAGATAAATTTAACACCGTAAAAAAGTAGGTGAAACAACTTTTTGACTTTTCGGACGTTAATCCTTTGTAGGAGTTTGTAAACGTATCTAACGTATARTATATTTACAATAATGCATTGCGGTCTTTTGATTGCACTATGCAAAATACAGCATTCGTCAATGTAAAGAGATGTCAAATACTACAAAAAGATCATATAATAAAATAAATAAAAAATAGATCCACGTTTACGTTCGTCTACTCTAATAAATACACAGATGATGTCAAATGTGATGAGAACAAAAAGGTATGTCATGAGACGAAGTCGAGCGACTATTGTTCTCATGAAATTTTAACGTCTTTTGTGGATCTATTAGAGTACAGACGCACCTATTTTGGAATTTATCTAATACATAATATGTTAATAATACTGTAATTTGTTTTCCGAAGCGCGCGAAATTTTATTGAAACAGTTGAACAAACAATAATTTGCCCGTACTGGTTCCGACCAATCAGAGAGCACTTAAGATTGAATGGCGTTATCCGAGCGATTGTAATTTAATAACAAACACTAGCTGGCCAATCCAAGAGCGCGTTATATAATACAAAAGCTGCAACACAAAAAGGACGAATTACCATTATTTGTCTGTGTCTGTATACTTGATGTATTAATGTGACTGTTCTGTTTCTTAGTTGGTTGTTGGTGATATCTACTCTCAACAGAGCCACGCCCTCCATCTTTTGGCATACATTTGTCAATCATACTCAAGAAATCATGCCAACTTAAAGAATAAACAGGAATTTACCATTACAACTTATGATAACTGACTGAGAACTAAACAAATAGAATGGATGCACTTTATATGTTGGGCCTAATAATATTCCTTGGAGGACTGCTATTTATTGAAGGGCGGAGATGATAATTTAATTTGTCTTTTATTGGTGTTAATCAGTGATCTGGTATTTCTAGGGTGTTTTAAAGGTTTCTGGCACCGTGGTATCATTAACTTAAGGGTACCTACAGATATGAAGGTAAGGGAAAGCTGCTAGGCATGAATGAAGACACTCCCCACTCTCTCCCTCCCCCTGCCCTGGGCAACACTCCACCCCCTATGCCCTGGACCAACATGCAATGCAATAGTCATGTGGTACACCTCTAACTGGATTTTAATCATTGAATGGAGTGACTTACTTAACATATCCTTGAGGAGCATAGTGGGTCAGCAGTCTCTCCAACAAAGATCTAGTTAATTTCAGCTTGTGGCGCTGGCACAATTGCTTCATCTGAAGGAATGTAAAGTGAGCAAATAGAGATSATTATCATTAATACAAGGGAACAGAGAGTACTTTTGATCTCCATAATGGAACATTAAAAAAGGGAGGAGGGTTTTCGGGACAGATAGCATACATATTGATAATTTGATAAAACACTTAATAGCAATTGTGTCATAGAAAATAGAAATTTGAAAGAAATCAATAAAGACAAAAGAACATTGTTCAGACTGAATGCACTCTTTTGTCTATCTAATTGTATTCCATTTTGCAAATGTTGAAATTCTCAATTATAACACTTTTTGTAATTAGGTGACTGTATTATTCATAAGCATTCAAGTACCTCTTCAAATGGAATAGTCTCATTTTTCCAAAGCTTCTCACAAGTTTGTCTGAATTCCTTCAAATCTGGTGGTTGTGCTGCCAACTGTTTTTCCAGCTCAATTTCCAGTGATTTCATTTCTTCAAGTGAACCATCACGATAGATGTTTGATGTCAGTCTGGGCTGCAGGACATGACCATTTAATTTACTTTTGTATGTAGAATAGCTGGTGCTGACATCCTGACATTCTGATGATTAAACARTTATTGATTGAGACTGACTGATTACAATGGGAACAAGTGAGCTCGCTAACAGTTAAAAAAGGCTTTATGAGAAAAAAGAGTATAGTCTAATTTGAAAAAGTACAGAGAGAGTGACATATCACTTAATTCCAGGCTATAATTTGCTTTGATTAATAAGCAATCCAGGATAGTTATGTGCCTACCACAATTCATGAATGCAGTATAGTTTTGGATAAATATGAGATTATAAATAGGATAGATGAATGGGAGATACTTCAATTCAGGTYCTTGTAAACAATAATGGGATATTGTAAATTGATACCTGTACTCAAGACTTTGACCTGATAATTAATTGCTCCATGTAAAATATATGTTTGAACAATTTAAAAATATGTTTTTCCATCTCGAGACACAAGATTCCTTWATTTTGGGAAAACTTCCTCTTTTCAAAGGGATTTATTCACAAGAAAGTAAATGAAAGACATCTAATTACCTGCTAAAAACTTGCACAATTCCTCATAATCGATACCTTCTTCTTTCTGAAATCTCTCCACCAATGAATTAAAGGTGGAACCAATGATCAAGATACCATTTAAATGAAACACCTTGTCAAGTTCTTCTGGGGTGACCACACCATTTCCGATATCATCTAACTGCTTTAACTGTCTTTGTGAATTTTCCAGCTTTGTCTTGCTGATTTGAAGCCGTGAGATTTGTCTCGCAAGAACGTCTTGACTCTGATCTATAGGAATCACAATATATGTCAGAAGAAAAAATAATTATGATAAATTATGATTACCAAATTAAAGCATTAATTAAAATAATTAGAAAATTGATCAAAATGCTATAATATTAACGAATAAAGTTATCTTTTAGCATGATTGTGATGAAGAAAATATATTATATGTGTAGCCAGTGCTGCTGTGGTGGAGCAAATATATTTGAAGAATCTGGAAGCTTGCTGTCTACAGCATCATCAGGGAATGATGATATTAAGTTTTGAGATGATGCTTGTACAAATCAGTAGTATGTTTTTAAAAGTGCATTCGCTGTGATGTTTTTGGCACATTAAGCATGTAGAATTACTTTATTATTAAATTAATAACTATTAATATGACCACTTCATGTATAAATTATGTACAGMGATTTATATGACTTACAGAATTCCAAGATGACAAAAGAGATATATTTGTACAGATGTATAATATATCGCCCCATGTAAGAGAATCCAGAGAACTAGAGGATTCCGGATTCCAAGCGCTGGATTCTGGATTCCGAAACATTGGATTCCGGATTTCAAGCCTTGGGATTCCGGATTCCAAAGAATTTTTGTTTTGGATTCTGTATAATAAATGGCCTGATTTTCAGGGGGTTTTTTCCTGAAAATTTTACATTCAGCGTGTCAGTAGCCTGCGCAGCTGTTTTTTTAGTGGATTCCGGATTCCGGATTCTCTTACACGGGGCGAAATATACAACAAACAAATAGATAATACTACAGTGARTTAAGTTATCATGATCATTGATGGCTTCGGCTTGGGTATATAGCTATTTCAAAAAAGGTTGTTGGGTAAAATGTCGAATGTCAATTGTCGAATGGYGATTGCACGACCGAAAGTAGCCATGGGTTGCTAGTTGAAAGGCAATAACAACTGATTTGTACTGTAAGATGGTCTGTGGTAAACATTGTCTTCATTTATTAGTCACCATTTCTATGTAAGGTGAATCCAATAAGTGCATTTTTGTTTGTCAAAACAGTCCCTTTCGGCCGTGGAATCTCCCTTCGACATCACCGTTCGCCGTTCTCCCCAACAACATTTTTTGAAATAGCTGTATACAAATGTAAGGCAGTTTCAAGAAGAAAAAAATATTTTAGAGATTTAGTCATATCAGAAACCCATWAGRGACTTGAAACGAGTAAMGCCTGTACATTTCTTTAGTACCAAGCRTGGAATATTCAAAGCTCATTTAAAATTCCAAAACTAACGTTATGAACATATTTKGAAAATTCACCGTTGGATAAGAGATTTAGGGCTCATTCTGGTTGGCTATAGGGTGAATTTAATTGTTCCAAATAATAACAAATAAGGAAATGAGATGCAAATTAGATTTGAATATTCCAATGGTTGCCAMGGCGTTACACGTTTCAAGTCCCTTATAGGTTTCTGGTCGTATTTAACCTTTGATTATTACCTTTGATAGGAGGAATTATTGAGTATTTGCTTCCWATTTTGTGAKTTTGCTCAAAACCTGCCCATGAAGTTGGATAGGTGGATAACTGTTTWGTTGGTCCACCATCCTTTCTATGGATCGGAATAGTTACAAGTTTMCCGCCAATAATCTTCTTGTCAAATCCTTCTATATTCATGGCTGCATAACAACATTGCAAATAGCCTGTGAATATAACAACATCAAATGYTGAATGGAATAGATGGAAAACAGGAAATGAAAATGTWAATGGAACATTGGTATTGCATGCATACTGGATATGGTTTGCTGTAAAGGACAAACTCACAAATTACATTATAATGCTTGTTATTTGTGCATTCCATGATTGCCAGTTAACTGTCAGTTTTCTTAGCCAATTCAGAGGTTTTTAAGTGTCTTCTCCAGTTAAAATCATTTTTTTGCATTCATGCAACTAAAACCAATGGTGAGAGGCATCCTTTTTGGACAAAAAACAACACATTTTTCATTGATTTTCATACAAAAACAGATCCTTCCTGGTGGATAAGAGTTTTACAGGAGAATTTTGGAAGAATTCTGCAGATCTGGGGGAGGGAGTACGTTAATCGTTAATTTTTTTCTGCATCACATTTTAATCAGCTGGTCTACATACAAATTATATAAATACATTTTCACTAGTTTTACTATATTTTCAAACGGAATAAACTAAGCCTTGCATYGGTCTTATAATGGGCAGGAATTGTACAAAGAACATTCAAATCAACCTTGAAAGAATGGATCCAATCAAATATTTTAGCACAAAAGAAACTTATATTGACAGCTTGTAACTTGATTAAAATCAACAAAAGTTTTACAATTCATGCACTAATCAAAACAGCTTGTTATTTCAACTAAATTAACCTACCTTGTTAGCTAGAAACTGACTGCTCATTCAACCAAGTAAAACGCTGTATTTGACAAGAAATATTTGTTCTTTGTTTGGCCTTTTGCCCTTCGCAACGAGTTTGTTTATCAACTTTGAAACAGCTTGCCAAGAAAATAAACGTAATTTTCCCCTAAAAATGTTCAGAATTACATGCAAAGATAACTGCGAGAAACCTSGAGGGTACTGTAAGCTCAGTTACAGATCTTATACAATTATATCGAAGTTTGAAGAAGAATTCATCGAATCTTTTCAAACCCTTCGTGTTTACGACTGATTATGCTAATGAGCTTGAGGTGCCACGCGATCGAAGAAAACACAGGAAGACCAATTTGATTCGTATGAATAGAAAAGAAGGAAAGGTACTAGTGCTTACAGGAGGTAATACTCCAATTTCGAGTTTTGGTTTGCTCTGTGTTAGCCTCAAAACCAAGTAACATATTCATTGATAAACCGAGACAACGCATGGAATTCGAAAAGAAAGAAAAAAGAATTGATTTGAAATCTCACACWTTTATTCTCACAATTAGGAATATTTTGCGCACAAATGAGGCTAACAAAGAGCATTCGAGAATTCGAAACTGGATTACTGCCGGAGAAAGAACCTTGGAAATAAATTCGGAAAAGAATTTTCAAMCTCGCTGGGATTCGAACCCCCGACCATCTCTAGGATTCGTAGGGGATTTGTACTATACCGATGCTCTCAGTTGGTGGAGCATCCGACGGACGGTCGTGGGTTCGAAATTCAGCGAGGTCGGGAATTAATTTTTTTCGGAATTTATTTCCAAGGGTCTTTCTTCCGGAATTACCTCTTTCTAAGCACTATAACTTTCCTATATTTCTATATCATGTTTTTCATAGTGCCATGCGGTCCTTACACTCATATCAATTTTGTTCGTGGCGATACTCGGGCTTCCCTAAAGGCAAATAAAACCGGATGTAACGCAGGCTAGGGCTTCCCTATCGCACTCGTGATTCCTCATTGTTTATTTATTTATTTATTTATTCATTTATTTATTTATT